ATTTACAGGATCGACCACACCAAGTTTTCGAATCGATTTCTTTCAAATGCATCAGCCAAGAATGTTCAGTACTATGGCAGCGGAATTGGACTGGGTAATAACGGAAGTTGAGAAACAACAGAAAATGCACTGTGAAATGGACTCAAGAGTGGTCCCTCTGTAGAAGAACTACATGGTATTGTGTTGAATTACACAAGTTTGAACCTTTACTGAGTGTCTATAAAAAACACTTTCAGAAAATATTTCCCAGGTGAGAGAGAGGAGTTTACTTTTTTGTCAACCGCACTCCTAAGTTGTCTCCTCATCTAAACGCATGCATGTCAATGAGTGGACAGAAATGAGCGAAAACGTGAGGAAGATTCGTCTTGATATTAAGAAACCAATCGCAATGCTACCAGGGATAGGGCCCAGCAGCCCCGAACAGGATCAAAAGATGGCACAACTTTCCTAGCAATGCAGGCACCTTTGGAACCAACTGCACTTCGCTGGTTCACAAACGACCATGAAATGTGCGCGTTAAGGTTGCGTCGCCACCAACGAAATGAACACTTCCGACCAACTTTTCAGGCTAAAGGGGTGCTTCTGCCAGAGGCGGATAGTTCCATACTGACAATGGACAGTGCTAGGATTGTTGGTTAGGGCAGGATGGTTTCCCCGGGGGACCAAAGCACTCATGCAGCAGTAGCAAAAGGAAGAACCATGCACTGACGGGGACGGGGTCAAAAATTGCGGGGCATTTTCAAGCAAAATTAATGGGTCATTTCCAGTTCTTTCTGTCCCTCTTTGGTCTCAGGTGTCAAGGCACACATTGATTAAAAGCTGTTTTTTATCATCTTTCATTTTCTTTTCATTTTTAGTAGCATATACATGTACATGTACTTGGCAAAACCTAACGCATTTTTTCTAAATCCAAGAATATTGAACTACAAATGTACATATTTTCGAGTCGAGTCGAAACTGATTGATACGTTGTATACGCTGTGATGCTCGCTTGAATGAACTGGTGCAAGGACTAAATAGCCTGAGGTAGAGTGCGCCACGCATCCATTAAAACAGTGGCAAGTTCTTGGGCTGTTCTAGGCACCACAGGACGTGACTGGAGGGAGCCAGCGAGTTCATCACACACGTGCTCGACGGCTTAGGTCTGGACTGAAGGCCAAGGCAGGCCATGGAAGGAATTCAACGCGATTGTCCTCAACATGCTGAGTAATCACTCTGACAGGTATGAGGTCGCCCATTGTCATGTTGAAGTAGGTTATGTTTGGGCGCCCATTCAGAAATGGTCTTACCACTGGCTCCAAATTTCATCCCAGTATCTCTGGGCAGTGAGGTTATTGATGATAAGCAGATCAGTACAGTCATCTGCTGTGATTCCAGACCAGGATGCTGAGACCTCCCCATCTGTCGTACATGACATTAAAGTTGAAGAACTGTTTACCACGACGACATTACACTCTGTTGCCATTACACGGAAACGTGATTCATTAGAGAATACCACTTGATTCCACATTCTCTGTGTCCAGTCACGGTGTTCAGGGGCCATTCCAACTTCCACCGACGACGATTTGCCGTCAGTTGGGAGACCTCTGTATAGGGGTGTCTGCTGCAGATTCCTACCGCACGAAGTCCATTTCTGACAGTCTACCCCTGTGATTCGTTGGGCCGGGTGTCTGTAGTTTCTGCATTGCGGCGTCGATTACAGGAGTACGTGTTGCATGATGATAATGACGGACCAATCTGGATTGGGCGTTGCCACTCGAGATCTACCGCTTCTTGGACGATGGACACACTTACCATACTTCTTATGCGATGTATTAGTCTACTAATCGATTGTCGATTCCCGGACTTGGAAATGTGTTGCTACATCCCGTGCTGACATCAAGCATTCCAATAGCACGGGCTCGGTCAAACTGACCTAGTCTTGGCATTCTCTTGTTTAGTCCTAAAACAAATCGTTTCTTGACTCTAAGAATCATTATCTATCACAAAAACATCTCAAATCCTATGCAACTTAGCCAATCAGAGCAGAACACACGATTCATTGATATTCATTGATACACGATTCATTGACATAACAAAAAGACACTAAAAAATGTGTTTTTTGCGTTGATTTTTGACAAAGTACATGTTTATCCAGAGAGTGTCACCAAAAAGCAGTTGTGAAGTTTATCACCATTATGGAAAATTGATGCATACACTTGCAAAATGAATCAATGGGAACCCGTTTCATTCGGCATTTTCAGAAACACAAGCTGGCAGTCCCACTGGTACCTTTGTTGTTTTAACGAACCATCCATTACCAGCGCCACAAAGAGAAATGAGAGCGTGCAAATCATGACTCACTCCGCGCAGTTTGGGGACTATTGGCTCTTTGATATTGTGTTGAATAAATTTTCAAAATCCAAATTCTGTTGAAAATAATGAGACCGTCAGATTGGATAATAAATACCATTATCATTTAATAAGGCACCGATGTTACGTTATTTTCTTTCAGACGATAATGGAAACACTACGTTTATAAAAGGCACGGAAAATGAGCCAAAACAAAATTAGCTAAACCTAGAGCCAAAATGTTTTGACTGATTAAAATAAAAGTAAGGCAATATGATGCAAATCATTTTTGACATCATTATGTAGACAAACGCTTGGCAAAGTATTGATCAAACTATTGTTTTATGTTGACTTTAATATTACACATTGTCGTCATATGTGTCAATTAATTGGCGTATATTACATACAACTGAATTTCCCCCTTAGCACTTTTTGTCTTTTTGTCAATTGCTCCAGTTCAAGAAACCTCAAAATTGTCGTATTAATCAAACTGCGTCTCCTCTGAAGTTTGAAAAAAGGCATATCATCCCCTTGTGGAAGTGCTTACCACCCGTTTCAGACAGGCGTTCTAGAGTCGGGCCGAACCAAATAGAATCAAGAGCGACTTGGGTCGACCGAATTAAATTTTGGTTGCTGACAGACGAACTCATTACATATGCATTGGGTTCAGCCTACGGAAAGAGCGACGTCTAAAACCAAGTCACTCTGGTGTCGTTCCGAGCGCTTTCAAGTGACGATCTTTTGCATACTATAAAGCACGCCTCGTCGCTACTAATTGTTTCAGACGTCGAACGTTTTCCCTACTTTATCCAAAATTTTGCTTTTAATTTGGTACTGTGCGACTCCAGAACGCCTGTCTGAAACAGGTGTTAGACCCCTAGAGGAGAAAAGGGTCTCTAACAAAAAAAATGCACATATCCGCATATTATGCATTCCGTGCTCATTTTTTATCATCAACCATACGTTCCCAACTGCATGCATACCCAGTATCTTGATTTAAATGCATCGATGATTATGCCTTATTAATTATTAATGCAATCGCTATAACTAGTTGCACGCGACAGAGTTTGCCTTAAAATTGACTTGAAGTGAAGAAGGAACTAGTCTCATCAATAATGTTGGGCTTGCTGGTGTTAACTTTGCTGCTTCTTAGTCCAGTGAGAGGTAACTGGAAAGATGGGAGTAAGAATGGAAGCCGAGAAAACATGGTAAAAACTGCATGAAGTATAGTATGTAAAAAGTCAGCCCTAATCGCTGATTAGTCGTAGCTTGATCCATCCGTCGGATGCGTGGTCTGTCGTTTAGTCAACTCCTAGTCAGACTTGCGTTAAGGTTTCCGATCGGAGTTTAGGTAAACGAACAGGCACAATCGGCGCTATGCCCAGGACAAAAAAAATAATCCAGTGCCTGTGGAAACTACGAGAGCCTGCGAGAGCACGGGTGTGCCAAAGCAAACAAGCGCCTAATGTTTTTAATATTTTCTTTGATTTAATTTTGGTTTTTAGATTTTGGCTCTGCCCGACGTGTATTTTTACACTGTCTACCCAGTGTATGTCCTCGAAGGCTTGTGAAGAAAACATATACTAAGTATACATTGTTAAAATGCACATCAGGCGGGGCAAAAATCCACAATTAATTTACATCTCCCCGGCGCAAATCCATCCTTGGAATAGTCTTTGGGGGGAAAGTTTTAAAGTAGTCCGTTTAGCTTCCTCTTAACTAGATTCAAATGCATTTGTAGGTTTCAGCAGTATTACCAGCTTCATGAAATTAATAATGGTACTTGGATCAGAGTAGGGTCTACTGAACAGTGGTGTCCAAAGACCTACAGCTCTGCATGTGATGTGCAGAGGGCTCGTGTAAGGGGCTAATTTGGGCAAGTCACTTTATCATTACTTGCCTGTCTCCACGGCAATTTAGGAGTATAAACGGGTATCCATAAAGGGGCAGAGAGGGTCAAGACTGCTTGTAGTGCCGGATGATATGGTTGTACAGATGGTTGCATACTCCACTGGGAGTTGAGATGGTTCATTGGGATGTTTCTAGGGCTCAGTGCGCAGGGTGACACAGTGTTGCTTGCTTAGGGGAAATCTTTCTGACTCGCAACATTGCTTCTGCATCTTGTATACTAGCTTTTCTTGGATCCGATACTTCAACATCGTTATGTGTCAAGTTGGTGTAAAGCCAATTAAGAGTCCAGCGGGACTGGATTACGCTGTGTAACATCGTCATATTATGATCATTTATCAATTTACTGGAGTAAGCACTGACTATAGGCTTTTTTATACTTTCAATCAGTGTACTTAAAGGTCATTTTCTGTTTTTCAGACTTCTGAATCAGAAAGGAATTTACAGGTATGACGGTTTGGAGGTCATAGGCTTAGAATGAGGTTTCACGCCATGGATTTCTTTTCCATTGGGCGTTTCTAGAGAAGATCTTTTGGCTTAAATGTTTTTGTTTGTTTACAAACAGAGGTTTTACACGCTACATATGACATGCAATGACGAAGGAACGAAGTGTCAGGAATGCCACCATTCACGCACGGGAGGACGAGTATACTTGCGTAAATATAATTATACCCTTCATAAAATTTATCTCAGATTTTTGGTGAGTTATAGAATTATGCAAGTTGTGTGAGCTTCTCTACGACCACGGTCTAAAAAATCTCCAAACAATTAATGATAGGAAATTGTTTGAAAGCTTACATTTTCTCGTATGCAACAAGTGATTAACAATTAAACAAGATCACACTTATAATGAGCAAAAACAATGTGATTAATAATTAAAAAACTTGATTAAATAAGAAGATTGAAACTTTACAAGATATCAATTTCTACGATGATAACTATTTTCATTATTAAGTTGCGTGCCAAAAAAGGGGCGTTGACCCCCACTTCCCCTGGATCCACACCTGCGACAGGGCTCTAGAATAGTGAGCATGATGGGGTCATGATATAAAAATAAGATCTTGGGCAAGTTGTTCGGTAGCTCTGCAACGAATTGACACAGTTGAGGGCCACAAGCCGACCCCCTAATTTGCGGAAAAATATGGGGAAACTCAAACACAACAAAATAGACTTCGTTGTCTCTTCTGGAATTTGATTCAGCTCCCAAGCACTTCACTGGTCAAGATTAATTTCGTCCAATCGTTCCAAAGACAAGTCGCATGCATATCATTGGTTCCGATTATAGACATCACAACATAGCCTACAGTTTAAGTCGTAATCACGTGCCACTGGTCCTACATCCTTCCAAAATTTAAAGTCTTTTGTAGGCTTGCCTTTTCCAAGAAATCACAGCATTTCTGGTTTGCTGAAAATTCTTATAATTACGAAAATTTCCGAAATAAAGTAACAGTATTACCAGAGAAATCTGGGGTGCACGTACAGGAATTTTCTAGTCATTACAGTCACCTCATGGGTTGGAAAACCGCTGATCACTCGGGTAGCAACGACAGATAAGTGTAGTGTACCAAACATGTAACCAAGACTGGACGTTGTTCAACGCGAGCACCAATTCAGCCAGACGAAGCAGAGTGCTGGTGGGAGGATCCCGAGTCTGGCGGAGATCTTGTTGGTGTTAGACCGCAGCCAGTTGACATTCCGCTCCAGCGACATACAAGTCCTTCGCAAAAACCACCGTAGCGCCACCCTTGTCCGCTCTCTTAATAACGATGGTATCATCATTCCTAAGAGACCTCAACGCTTCGCGTAATGCTGGATTTGAATCTCAGGCGATTGATTTCCGCACGGTTGTTTTCAATGATGCAGTCCAGGGTTTTGTTGAGATCGGAGGCGGGACACCAGGTTGACTTGGTATGCGCAAGCTTAGCAAGCCTTCATTCTCACTAGACGCACCTGAATCAGAACGAACTGACCTAGAGTCCTTGTCGTGCAACGCGTGGAAGAAAGCTCGTAAACGCAAACGACAGAAGAACTGCTCGACGTCCTCACGGGTGCATGAACTCGTCCCATCGGTTCATCAGCGAGATGAAATTCAGTCCACGCTCAAGGACAGAACATAGGTTATCAGTTAGATGGAGATCTGGTGGGATGGTAACAACCAAACTCTTTTGGTTGACGTTGTTCGTGGATATGGGGGTACAATGCGATTTGTCTGATTTGAGCTTTCGGTATATCTAGGCCGTACCCGAATTGCTTGGCTACGGCCTACTATTACGCACAAGTCTATGGTAGTGGCTGCAGCCAGTCCCATAGAGTCGTGTGGAATTTCAAGCCGCATCCGATTTATTCGGACGCGGTCTCAGATCTGATTTTTGTTGGTTTTTGTTGCTTTGGGGGCCAAATGAGGTTCGTGACTGAGGTCGTGGCCAGTCTTGAACAGTTCAAAGGTTCTGATTGGTCAAGAGTCTGTCTGCACACGACACACCACACGTGCACCAAGTTCATTAGAGTGGATTCTATTGGACAATTTTCAAAAGGAATATACCATAAAATGGAGGGGGTTGTTCGGGAAATGAAAGTAAAATTTTAGAATAAAATCGATAGAAATCCGAGACATTTTGACTTCTCTTGACTCTTTGAATAACAAGGTATCTATGAATGGGAATAAATATCTGCTTGGCAGGTCTACAAGTAACATTTAAGACCTTGCTTAGGAGAACGAACGCAGATAAATGCCCTCGGGCATTAGACGCATCCATTCTCCTGAGCCCGTCTTAAACGCACGTTTAAGACCGGCCAGGCCCATTTTATTACCTTATTGAAAGAAGTTATTTTGATGTAAAAGGGACAGTTATTGAATCTAACTTGTTCATGTGTTATACTTGCATATTTTACAGACACTGCTGAGTACACAGAAGGGCCGGCCACGTTTCAATTCAGAGGATCAGCGGAAGCACGTGACTGGAAACAATTACTTATTCAGGGTAAGAAGGCTTTAAACATCTATAAAGAGGACCTATTCTGTTTGAGGGTTATTTTGGACGGTAGCTACATCACAATAACGCGGCAAAATAGAGAGTTGTCCCCAGAGAGAGTGCTCGGATGCGCTAACCGTTTTGTTATGCCAGTCTTGAACAGTAAATCCGCCCTGAGCTGAAGTGCACCTTCACCGGCAAAAGAAAGACGGATGGAACTATAGCGTTTTTGAAACGAGTGGATTCGGCTGAGACTTTGGTATCGCTGGTTCCAGCCATTTTGAAGCAGCGTTTGAAACCATATGTTCAATTTCTGACTGGAACCAGCCAAACCGAAGTCTAAGGCCAATTTACTCGTTTTGAAAACACGGTTTTCCAACTGGGTTCTTGCACGCGATCGGCGTGCACACTAGGAACATCCGGTTCGTAAGTGTGACGTCACTTCAGTTTAAACCACGCCCACTGCAGATGCATTGTACGCAGAGTTGCATGTATTGGTCGCCGTTTACACGGAACCATGGAATTGGAAGTTAGCTCGCAACTTAAGTGTTCTCGTCCAGCAGGAGACAAAGCCATACACATGGACGCACCATAACGCACTTACGAACACGATACATTTCAACGCGCCTAAACCTGCGCGCCTATGCACTAAGTGGGTACCAAACATTGACATATAGGGTGCATTCGATGAGCTTACACGTGTAAGTTAAACTTACATGAGAGCGTTCGTTTAGCCATCACGTGATCCTTGTGCCTGCCCTGGTGTCAGCCACCACTACCCAGGCTGGCGAGGAGGTCTCTCGTGGCTGTCCGAGTGTAATGACGTCACGGATGGACTGTTCGAGCATGGACGCGCGTGGTGGAACGTGGCGGGGACTTGACCTTTTTCCCAGAATGCCTTGGCGAATACACTGCAGCGTCCGAAGCTTCCCTTGCGTGTAAAACTGGTGTATTCAGGGAAGCTAATAGAACGCACCCATTAACACATAGACGGACAGCTCCTATTCAAAACAACGTAGGGGTAAGGTAGCCGAGACGGCACCCCACTAAATCCAAAAGCGTGGGCAAATTCACCCCTCGGTATAGGATATTTACATACAGTTGAAGAATTCCAGCACTAAAATGCTATGAAGCCATTTTCTGATTGTGAAAAATCAGAAATCAGTTTACATAATGTGGCCAATGCAAATTCGAAACAGTGCGGTTCCTACAAGTTGAAAAAGAGATAGCCATACAAAAGAGTGAAAAAGGGGGCGTCTTTTTAGGGCACATGTAAACAAATACATGCGATCTTAATGCGTCACGCGCAATTCGCATTGAACGCGCTGCCATTCATCGTTTCGCCCACTAGTTGCCCACTCTTTTTGAAATCACGGTTGTACGCACAAGACTGGTGGTCTATGTGTTTACATGTCTGTGGTACCAAATGGCTGTCAATTTCATTTCAAAATACGCCTTCATTTGTTTAGATCTCAAACTTTAATTCCCTTATTAGAAACATTCTTCCACAAGCCGCTAATACCGGCGATTCACAATAGTGCGCCTCCAAGAGTTTGACCATTGTCCTGAGCCAGTCTCAAACGCACATATCGGTCTTAAATGCACGTTTAAGACCGGCCAATCATAGGCCTATATATTTATTGCCCCTTTATTAATTTGCTTCCCCATTCCGTGTGAGTCCTTAGTACTTTTCTCCTTGTGGAGCAGAAGATCCAACAGAGCTGTTTCATTACTGCATGCAAAACAACGACGCTTCAGATTGGAACTACAACGGTGATGCCTGGCGTTTCTCAATCTGCATGGACAATGACTTCTCTGGAATTTCCATGCCGGCCGAATGCGTCAAACCCGTGGCTGTTGTTTCCGTGGTCAGTCTGGTCGCAGACAACGAAGCGCACGGTGAGCAAACACTCTACTGCGCCTAGCAACCTAGCCTACACAAAATGCCGAGAGTAAATTTATTTGTGTATTCAAGTTTAAACATAAAATGTTGGCAAGAAGACACTTTGGCATGATCAAACCTCCTATTACAATCAATGTGATTTGCTTTTGGCCATCCAGAGATATGTTGCAGTGAGTACGAGGACTAAGAAATAAGTTGTTCCACTTTTAGGTAAACAGGTTAGTCTTAACGTTTCAACACAAAGCTCTTCATAGCAGCATTAAACATGAAATCAAAGTCCATGGGTAGGTGAAATGCACATTTTATTTCAATTCTGTCGAGTGATGGAGAGTTGCACAAAGCATTGAGATGTAAGAATGAGGATAATGTGCCTTAGTTCGTGTCTGATTTCAATGTTAAACTGAACACGAAGCGAAACACCTGCTGCTAGGTTTCTGTCACCATTAGAGTTAAACGGTAATCATTTTATTACTCCTATTGTCAAATTTGTAACTACGTAAAAAAAAAGGTTTGCGGTAGCACCATGCCAGGATATCTCTTTATGAGTATGTGTGGTTCGGAAAAGAGCTGGAGGGTACTCAACGTTTTAGACAGTATGCTCCATCTGTCGTCAGGTCACTTAAATTTGTAATTCTCAATTATATCATAGAAATTGCCACTAAGAAAAGGAGTAACTGTTGAAGAAATAAATTATATTAACAATAAGGGAAATTAACTCGAAATGTCAGCTGTTTTGTACAATAATTGTTCTGTTCCGGAACATTACGTTGTTATTATTAGGCCCGTCGATAAGGTTTGTCCAGTATCCCACCTCTTACCGCTTAAAACACGTTTGTTGTGGCTCTTGACCATGGCGTTCCATCAGAAAGTCTTTGTAATCGAGATGAACGCTCTTGACAGCCATCTCACTCTCAGTGGCTTAACCCTAACCCTCCTAT